AACCCGACCCGGATTTAGCAGAGCAGTATGTTCCTATGGCGACTCAGGACGTGGCTATACAACAGGCCCCGAGGATGTCCCAGAACGAAGTAAGGAATATTCTAAGCTAAAAGATATGAAAAGGAGATAGAAAAGCAGATTAATAGATAGTTAGAAAGAAGGGATTATTCTGTGCTAGAAGATATGAATAATGAACAGATGAATAGATAAAGAGATAGATAGATGGATAGATGGCCCCGATGTCCTAGAAAGAGGTACGGAAAAGATCATGCTAAACTATAAGATATGAATAAACAAATTAATAAATAAATATAGGATATATATGTAGATAGATAGATAGATAGATAGATGGATAGAGAGATAGTTAGATAGATAGACAGATAAATAGATATATACTAAGAATATAAAATAAATAATGTATAAATGAGATAAAGAAGGGGACATTCGAAGCTAAGAGATAAAGTAAATAGGTAAACACATAGATAAAAAATAGGTAAGGAAGACGAACACTAAATGATAAAGGAAATAAATGAAATAGGTAAATATACAAATAGATAAAGAGGCCATTCAACAGGCCCCAAGAATGTCTTAGAATGAAGTAGGGGAAACATCAGTCTAATGTAAGATATAGGGTTGTGTGTGTGCGTGTGTTGGAATCTACAGAATGTGTGCTTATATGCATTTTTGTCGAAGAGTTTGCACAGCAATATTTCTGTAATATCTTCAGCCGCAGCTATTTCGGGTACATGTACATGCCTTATATGCTTATGTAAGATCTAACGCATCCTGTCTGAAAATCCCTTTCGAAAACTTTAAATGCAGAGAGCAGAAGTTGATGTGGTTCTCGCCTTTGGAAGCTTAAGAGAATTTTCAGAATATTATGTCTGCACGGATTCTTTGCTGCCATGTTGCGTTTCTCTTCTCTGAACTGCTGAATTTTCTTTCTTATGAGTTTGTTTGTCTGTTCTATATCTGTGTGTATGTTGTATCTATGTTAATCTTCAATAACACACATACGTACACACACACACACACACACGCGTACACATGCACATGCACACGCAAAAGCACACACACACGCGCGCGCTCTTGCCCATGTACACAGACACAAACGCACACACACACACACGCACATGCACACGTACACACATACACGCACACACACACACACGTACACTCATACACGCACACATCATATCAACCTGGTTATTTTCTTATCTATATATATATTGTTTGTTTGTTTCTTGTTCCGGCTTTGTTAGACTAACGATTTCTACTTAACAATGGATTATATGTAAGAATCTATATGAGAGAGAGAGAGGGAAAGAGAGAGACAGGGAGATAGAGAGAGAAAGAGAGTTAATAGAGAGACAGACAGGCAGAGAGACAGAAACAGAGAATGAAGGATGAAGGAAAAAAAAAATGAGAGAGCATGTTCTGACATAGAAAATAGAAAATAGAGTGACATTAGCCACTTGAGTTTATTCCGGAAATGCAGTTAAAAACCTACTCTAATAAATGATGAAACTGATGTCTTTGAAGTTGGCTCCCGGAAGAAAAACTTTTCAGTCCTGCTTAAAAATATCGACAAAATAGGCGCCCTGTGCAAGGCTTATCCAGAGTGCGTTGCTCTTTGGCAGAGCTTCCTCTTCCTTTAATTATATATATGTGTGTGTGTGTGTGTGTGTGTGTGTGTGTGTGTGTGTGTGTGTATTTATATATATATACATATATATATGTATATATATTTCTCTTTAGAATGTTTATTTCCGTTCCATGTCAATGCTTACATGGAAGACGTCCTTTAACTAATACACAGAACATACAGTCGTGATATTCCTATTCGTCCTCACTTATCCATTCATCACAACTCTAAAAAAAATCTCAGGTCCTTTGATCTGAAGAACAGCCTTATCATCACCTACAAAGCGGGTTCTTTGATCTAACGGCTTCCCCTGATGAGCTTCTGGATCAATGTGGTAAAGTAAATCATAAGCCTATGTACGATTTTCTGCTTTAATACAGGCCAGGCCATACGTTTGAGTTCATTCAGCACGCGGTCTCTCTCCGCGCTCTCTACCAAAACAAACTCGTAAACAAGTGACGCTCACGAAGCGCAACATCACGATTAAACATAATGACCATACTCCCTGTCTTTTAAACAAAGTAAATGTTTCTAAAGTTACAGCATATTATAAAAAAAAAAAAAAAAAAAAAAACATAAACATTCCCAAACACTTTTCTGAAACATTTTTCAGTGAGTTTACATTATCATAAAATTAATGGTTATCTGCATAGGCAATTTTCTCACTTCACAATATAGTATCTGAGAGTGCTTTTCACAACTCTTATTTACTTATTTATTATTATTATTATTATTATTATTATTATTATTATTATTATATATATATTTTTTTTTTTTTTTTTTTTTTTTTCACCCACAAGAAAAGTCCCAAATCCCAGCAGTACTCAATCCATCAGGGAAATTAGCATAGGAAGCGTCACTGTATACTACTAACTTATACTTACAAATGTCACCACGTCCTGGAAAGTACACTGAGCTCTCAAAAGTACCAGCTTTCCTTAGGCATTTATTTGCCTCAATCAGATCTACTTTGGGATTATTTACTTTACAGCTAAGTTCCAATACATTATACGTTAAGTTAGGTCTTGAATTAGATTAGATTCCTAAGACTTTCCTTTTCTTATACATTACACTCCATATGCATATTTGGTCCACTCACAGCACTTGCATTTACAGATTCTAAAGATTTACAGTACTCCTTTTGACGCCATGTTCATTCTGTACCATATCTAATCCAGTATATCTGAAAGCTGTATTATTTTGCTCCCTTACCTGAAAATTAATTCTGATTTGGGGAATGGCATTTTCAAATCTTTCTCTTCCTTCCCACAAAAAAAAATCATCTGCGTGTATTAAAACCATGCCACATAAATCTCCTTCATAATACCAATAGAATGCGGCAGGGTCAGTTTTCTCCTCATTACATCCCATCTTCAACAGGAGAGTATTAACTACCACTCCCTAGCTGCATCATTATGACCTTACACATTTTTCACTCATGGTATATGACAACTTGTATATTAATTTCGTCCATATACAAGTCGATAAGGGCTAAAAACCCTTGTCATCTGAAGACAGGCCATGCTAAAGCCACTCTTAAAGACAATTTTGGTTGCTCTGCCATTATTTTACCACTATTCCATCTATAATTGTATGATTACACTCACAAAGGCCATTACTGAAGGTAGACTATGTTGTAGTATGCATCACTTGAATGTTCATGTTCTCACACATTTCCAGGAATGTGTTGCTGGCAAATTTCACAGGGGCTCCTAAACCAGTTCCCAACCATGTCTCCATACTTTCCTCCACTATCTCTTCGGGTTCTTTACTTTTTCACGCATGATTTTGAGAACCTTGTTGCCATGTCCAGCATATATATAGGGAATAAGTTTCTCCTTTATTATATACTTTTAGGTCTATTGCAACCACTTCGTTGAACTCCTTTGCCATATTTGCACTCATAATTGGCTTTGATGGCGTTTTATTATATTTGACGCATATCTCACAGCTATCTGACACCTCATCAGCATAATACATAGATCATTTCATTTTCAGTGCCTGCATCCTTTAATAGCTGAATTAAGTTCTTGGATGTGGGATGACCAAACTTTTGATGTAATTTTGCTAGCTTCTTTTTCTTTTCTTTGTCACTAAGTCCTAGAGTTAACATAATTTCTCCAGTTTTCTTCCAAGCTTCCTTTTCTTCCCTTAGTGGAAGGCAATAGTGTCCTGAAGAAATACACTTCAATTTCACTTTTCCATGTATTACTGCAATATCATTTTCTAAGTCCAATTTCACTTGTGCCCTCTTCACTGATTTCTTGCTGAACAGAAGTTGAATAGAACCATTCACAACATCAGCAGTTATATTTGCTCTGTCACCTATAATGTTCACTGGAATTTTCACCTTCCTCATTGACTTAAACACATTACTTTTACCAAATTTAAATGTAGTTTCACTTTCCTTCTCTTCTATTCTCAATTTCTCTTCTTCGGATAAAATTTGTCTGTATGATTTCAACCAATCAATAACACACACAGTAGAACTACAGTCGATGTCCAGGATAGTTCAATCTATAGACTGTCATTAACATCATTCCAGGACTGTCAACAACAGTAAACGACTCTTCCTCTTGTATTTCCTCACTTGCGCTATTCACATACACATTCTCGGACGTAATGGAGAGAGATGGTGCTCTGATCCACAAGCGTAGCATTTTCTAATATTTCCATATTTGTCAACAGTATTTCTTTGTAAATTTTATCAATTTTATTTATCACATTTCCTCTTCCTCTACCTCTGTATTTGCCACGTCCTCTCCCCCCTATAACAAGATTCACCTCCTCAGCGTTAAATATTTTCTCAGATTTTACAACCACTGCAGGAGTTTCACTCCCACAACTTCGTGACACTGCACCCAATGACAGTACATCTTCACTTCAAAAAAAAAATCATTGGGGCTTGCTGCTCTGAATCAAACATCTTATCTGGATCACTGAAGGATATCTCTGTTAATACTACTTATTTGTCTTGAACTTCTAGCCCTCCATTGTCTAATAGCTTGAAAGCTAAAATACACTTTGGTATACTCACTTTAAACTTCCCCAAAACTGCACTTATTTTGACAAATTCCAAAATGTATTTCTCCATAGTGCCTTCTTTTTCTTTTTTGTAATTACTAAACCTTGTCCATACCTCGACCACTATAAACTTTTTTTTTTTTTTTTTTTTTTTTGTACCACTCGTCCATGTGTTGAAGCAAATAATTCACTTCATCGTCGTTTAATAACTCTTTGATGCTCACTTCTTCAAAAATCTTGCCTCTCACCTCGCTTGACAGTTCTTGTTTTCGCCGAAATCAGGCACTCTCGGCCGTCCGCCGCCATCATCGTTTCTTCTTGTTTCTGTTGA